GTGTCCTCTCGTGTACTCGCCTCAGGTAGGCAGTAACACCGGACCTGCTCGGTGTCGATCACGCTTGCTGCGCCATTCCCCTCTACGGACCGGATTCGTGCGCTTTTTTGCTCCTCAGTTCAGTTCCCCATGGCGAACCCTGGTGGAGTTCCTCCCGCACCCTCGGCGGTCAGGCGTGGCGGAGCGCCAGATGCCAGTCTCAGCACTCGTGTGCATGCCCAAGGTCAGCCCTTGTGCTGGGCTAGGTGCCCGTGTGTAGTGATTCCCCCTTCGGGCGATCCCACATGTGTATTCTTCCACGGTACGGCTCCCCTCACGGTAAGCCCGTGTCTTTCCCTGGCAGTCGTTCGCTGCCATCTCTGCTGTGTAGTGATCTCACCCCAGGCGGGTTGAGTCTACCGCAGAGACTTCCATATGTAGTACTGCCCTGGGCCAGTCCATATGTGTAATTCCACATGATACCTCCTATGCGTGGGATGTGGTTTCCGTAGCGTTCCCAACTGGGTATGCTTTCCCAGTGTTATCCAATGTACCACTGTATCTTCCGCCCCAGCTGGTGTGGGGAAGCTTGCTGGCTTCCGCAGGGCACTGGAGGGGGTCAGCAATAGTGGCGTTTTCCATACGGATCCCAATTCGTTTTCCCTGGCAGTCGTTCACTGCCATCTCTGCAGTGTAGTGATCTCACCCCAGGTGGGTTGAGTCTACCGCAGAGACTTCCATATGTAGTACTGCCCTGAGGGCCAGTCCATATGTGTAATTTCCACATGATACCTCCTATGTGCGGGATGTGGCTTCCGTAGCGTCCCAACTGGGTACGCTTTCCCAGTGTTATCCAATGTACCACTGTATGGAACAGCAGTGGCGGACACCTCTGCCTAGCCGCTGTCCTATCTTCCGCCCCAGCTGGTGTGGGGGGACTTGCCGGCTTCCGCAGGGCACTGGAGGGGGTCAGCAATAGTGGCGTTTTCCATACGGATCCCAATTCGTCAGTCACGACTGACATCATGTAGAACGTGACTGACTGAAAGGGAACGTCTCGGTTACTTGTGTAACCCTCGTTCCCTGAAGGAGGGAACGGAGACGTTATGTCCCGTCGCCACAGTTGCTGTACCACCGCTGTACGGCCGGGGCATGTAGTCTCGGCTCCTCAGCGAAAAACTGATGTGCATTTGCACGCGCTCTCCTTTTATACCCGCGCTGCGGGGCGGGGTGCGCATGGCGAAACACGCACGCCAACTGTCATTGGCTTGTTTAGTTTACACTCGAAGGTGATTGGGCTCTCGGGCGAGATCCCAATTCGTCAGTCACGACTGACGTAACGTCTCCATTCCCTCTTTCAGGGAACGAGGGTTACTCAAGTAACCGAGATGTTTTCTATATATGTGTATTAAAGAAAACAAGCAATATATGCATTAGATAAACTTATTATTTTGATAAGCATCAATCACAAATAATTCAAAACAATCAAAAACATCAAACAATCAAATAAACAAACTACTACTAATTACAACACTTCATGTATCCTCATATTACAGATATTACCATATACTGTAAACCGACATCCAAATGACTGTGTGTCCGTGTGTGTGTGTATGTCACTGTGTGTGTCACTGCTTGTGTGTGCGTCACTGTGTGTGTGCGTCACTGTGTGTGTGCCACTGTGTGTGTGTCATTGTGTGTGTGTCACTCTGTGTGTGTGTGTGTGTACCTGTTCTTCTATTCTGGTGGGGACTTAAACCTGAATACACACAGACTCATGGGGACTCGTGTCACGGTGGGGACCTATATTGAGGTCCCCACGGGTAAACAAGCTAATAAATCACACAGAACAAAGTTTTTTGAAAATCTAAAAATGCAGAAAGTTTCCTGTGAGGGGTAGGTTTAGGTGTAGGGTTGGTGTAGGGCAATAGAATATATGGTCTGTACAGTAGAAAAACCATTACGCCTATGGAGAGTCCCCACAAGGATAACAAATCCTTGTGTGTGTGTGTGTGTGTGTGTCACTGCGTGTGTGTAACTGTGTGTTTGTGTGTCACTGCGTGTGTGCCACTGTGTATGTCACCGTGTGTGTGCCACTGCGTGTGTGTCACTGTGTGTGTCACTGTGTCTGTGCCACTGTGTGTGTGCCACTCTGTGTGTGCCACTCTGTGTGTGCCACTGTGTGTGTCACTGTGTCTGTGCCACTGTGTGTGTCACTGCGTGTGTGTAACTGTGTGTTTGTGTGTCACTGCGTGTGTGCCACTGTGTATGTCACCGTGTGTGTGCCACTGCGTGTGTGTCACTGTGTGTGTCACTGTGTCTGTGCCACTGTGTGTGTGCCACTCTGTGTGTGCCACTCTGTGTGTGCCACTGTGTGTGTCACTGTGTCTGTGCCACTGTGTGTGTGCCACTCTGTGTGTGTCACTGCGTGTGTGTGTGTGTGTGTGTAAAGATAAAGTTTGCTAGAAAACACTACTCATTCAGTCAGTTTATCAGCTGATAGGCTTGATTCTCTGTGGCATAATAATAATAATAATAATAATAATAAATATAAATTACACACATAATGCACATTCTTTGAGTTTTCAGAGCTCGTAAACACAAAATTCATAGGAGGACTTGAATGCACCATATGGTTCTAATATGCATCCACACTTTAGCATGATAGGCCTTTTACCTGAACAAAAGTGCTCTAACTGGACAATGTTGCCCTGAGGCAACAAACAAAAAAACACAGTTACAGTATATAAATAAAAACAAAATAAGTATTTTAATTATCAAACATACTTATGTACATATTGACGCACATGCATATATTTTTTTACATAAAGATATTTCATTTTAAACATGTTAAACTAAGCTAATTTTTGCTATGCTGTGCTATTTATCTTACCAATTTGTGGCACTGTGTCCCATGCAGCTTTGCTTCCTAAAATGACTGCTCCATCCCCAAACAAATGGTTATACCCACTTCAGCCCATCATTTTATTGAACAAACATGTCAGGTGATATTATATGTATACATTTCTTTATTTAAAAAATTAAGGGGGGGGGGGGGGGGGGGGAAGGGGCAAAAAAGGGGGTTTTTTC